CGAGAGAGAAAGCGAGTCTTTCTACACAATGGGCAAATCCTTCCTCGCGCCAACCTTTTGGAACAACATTATTTTCACCCTTGTGTTTTTTATGCCATTGTTAGGTAAAATCTTCCGTGTGAGAGTTTTACCAAAGGAGGCCGATCATTTCTTTAGAACGATAATTACGGATATTATGGAGCAAAGAAGGAAGGAGGAGACGCGTCGACACGATTTTATTCAGTTGATGGTCGATCTGGAACGGTCAGAGGGTGAAAAATTTGACATGGACACGGTCATTTCTCACGCAACGTCATTTTTTGTCGACGGCTACGACACTACCAGCACTGCTTTAAGCTTCGTTGGTTTCAACTTGGCTACTCATCCAGAAGTGCAGGAGAAATTACGCGACGAGGTGATGTCTGTGCTTAACAAATACGATGGTGTGATCACTTACGACGCCTTGAAAGATATGAAGTACATGGATCAGGTATTTAGCGAATCACAGAGACTCTTGCCCGCTGGAGGATTTCTGGACAAGGTTTGCACGGAGGAGACCGATTTGAGAGGATCCGACGGACTCGTTTGTCACGTGCCACGTGGAATGCACATTCTGATACCCATCATGGGCTTGCAGAGAGACTCCCGATACTGGGAGGATCCTGAGGTGTTCGATCCCGAAAGATTTAGCCCGGAGAGAAAACATAGCATCGAGAAATATGCTTATCTTCCCTTCGGCGAGGGACCGCGAATGTGCGTGGGACAGAGAATGGCTCAGTTACAGATAAAAGCATGTTTGGCTACGCTCCTGAGGAAGTACAGACTAGAGCTTTCTCCGAAGACGCGAGTACCATTAAAGTTGACGGGTTCAACCTTCCTGAACGCTGCTGAAGGCGGCCTTTGGGCCATCATCCGACCGATTTAATTACGAGATATTAAAAAAGAATATTTTTTTTACAGATTTTTTTCTTGGCTTTGATTTTCTTTATTTACAATTATGTGGATTTTTGTAGTGTTAGTTTCCGTAAAATTAATATTTTTAATAATACCTTTCCATTGATTTTAAATGATATTTTAACGATATTTTAATGATGAGTTGAATTTAAAATATAACAAATATTAATAAACGTTGAGAAAATATTTTATTTATTCAGAGAATTATAAGCATTATGGTCTCTTATTTTTTAACTGTATAAATTAGACCTAATTTTTGTTGTTATTTCACGTTGTACTGTGACAGAAAATTGTAATTAGCGTGTTTTAAATAATTTTTTATGTTTAGATTAGATATTATTGTAATAAACATGATAATGTTTTGAGGGCAGATACTGTCCTGTTGATGTAACACTTATTGCGCATGATTCTGCGATGCAAATTATCAATCATGACTCGTCAAGGTTGCGATATTATTAGAACGGACGCAGGAAGATATTAATGCATATCTATGCTCATGCGTTTTAATATTCACTGTCAGTACTGACTCTCTACAGAGTGTCCCATTTTAAATGACGATCGCAGTTATCTATTGGACGACACATTTTAGAGAAAAATGTTTTAGATAAAAGTTACAGGGTTCAAAGGGGATGATTTTATTAGATTTTGGGTCCGGGTTTCGTGTTGGGCCCAGTAGCGCTTAAGGTATATATTTTTTAGTGGAAACCTTTATTTTTTTGTATTATTTCTTTCTATTAATTAATTTGAACAACTTTTATCTGAACCTTGTTTTTTTATATTTGCCTAATATTTTTTGAATTCAAAAAAAATATTCAAGGAAAACTTTGTAATTTTTAGCTTACGATATTTCGATAGTAATTATTGGGTTGGCAATAAGTTCGTTCGGTTTTTTTCATTCAAAACCAGTCAAAAAACCGAACGAACTTATTTGCCAATCCAATATTTGTCAGAGAGAAAAGTGGTTCAAGACTTTTTGACTTGATTTGGTCAAGAATATGCTGTTGCAATAGTACTACTTTTTTAAATACTTGTGTATAATACATGAAAACTCCAAGGAAATGTCCAATAATGTGTACATATTATGGATTAAATAAGAATGTATAATTTACAAAGAATGTATATCTAATTTATATTTTTAATACCCTACATAAATCAGCTATTTTGTAAAATATAATAATTGCGCTGGATATAAGTCACATTAAAAAAAAAAAAAACAATGAGCTTTTAGTTATAATTAAATCATATAATTAAATCATATGATTGTATTAATTGCAATTATTGACAAGAATTATATAATGATTAAGTATAGTTTTCCATTTGCAGATCACAAGAAGGTAGATAATATTTGTACAGAAATAATGAAAATGCTTTATATATTACATACGGAGTTTATTTATTAAATGTATTTACTTATACTATGTACATATGTCGTATAGTAGCACTTTAGCGTATTTTTCTTACGCGACTTTATATATTCTTAGCTGCGCTAAAACTACGTTCTCGTTACGTTATTTTACGATGTTAGAGTACATTAACATATACGTACATTACAATCTATCAAATAAGGCACTATACGGTGAAACCAAAATGTAATCAATCTCGCAGACGATAACCGTTAGTCGGTTTGCAAGTTACAATTAAATTAATAATTTGGAATATAATTTTTT